TATATATATATATATGTATATATATATATGTGTGTGTGTGTGTATGTATATATATGTATAGAGAACGTTTCAAATGCAACACATCACAATTGTACAACCAATACAACCCAATCTGTGATAAGGGCTGCCCCTCTTGACCCCATCCGCTGGCACGACCCCCTTTGAGTCTTGACCCCCGCCTTGATCCGAGGTGATAGAGGCAGCATTAGTGATTGTGCACTCCGCACTTCCTAACATTGTTTCCTTATCACTCTATCCATCTCAAGTAAATCATAATTACATAAAAAAAATAGTTGATGGATATTTTAAGCTTATTAAAATGATCAATATTAATAATTGTTCATGACATGAAATCTGTTATGCTAATTCCTTTATTTCTTTTCCTTTTTGTCACAGTCAAAACTCTGGGTTTGATAGCCTCAAAGCTACAATATACAGGTTGGCGTCTTGCTAATACAGATTCATGCAACACAGGTCATGGGCTTAATCAGATAATTTCCCGGAGGAAAGGAGGGCTTATTTCAGTTGGTAGCAATGTAACTTGCAACTGTAGCAGCACTCTTTGCCACGTAACAAACATGTATGGATCTACCTCTTTTTATATATATAGGGTTGGGTTCACGTGAGAACAAGAGTTTTTCATGAGACTCGCAAGACTAATTTATGTTCATTGATCAACTTTATAAACTAATGATTTAATGGTCTAAAGTTCACTCATGAACTTTGGTAAAAGAAATGGAACAATCAAAGTTCATACGATGAAACCTAAATCAAAACCATGAATGCATCAAACCAATTTCCAAATATGAAACCCACTTATTTTAGGGATAAATGGAATTGTAATTATCTTCCAAAACTACGACACAATTTGTTCCAAAATTACCCTTGACTTAATTCCATTTGACTTTAATTCCATTTAATATATTTTTTTAATCAATTTATAATCTCTCATTTAATCATAACTGTTGATTAAAAAAATAAACGGCTCAGATAAGTTTGTAAAGTTAAAAACAATGCATTGGTTAACAAAAGAATATATATATATATATATATATATCTCTCTCTCTCTCTCTATGTGTGTGTATATAGGGTTGGATTCACGTGAGACTAGCCTGTTTTCATGAGACTCGTGAAACCACTCTTTTTTACACTTGAAACTTCACAGCAAAACGTTGTGAAAGTAAAAAAAAAAGTTGAACGTTCACAACAAATACACTTTGAGGGTTACCTTCACAGCGTTTTGCTGTGAAGTTTTGAGTGTAAAAAAGTGGTCTCACGGATCTCAAAAAACAAGTTGGTCTCACGTGATCCCAAGTCTCTCTCTATATATATGTGTGTATATATATATATATATATATATATATATATATATATTCTTTTATGAACCAAAATGATAGTTGATGAGTGAAAACTACTGATTGAATCTTATTATTCAACTTAGTTGGAACCATGTTGGATAATAAGAATAGTGTCATATTGTACTTGGTTTCCTACTTCATATTTCCACCAACAATTATCCTTGTCAGTGGAATTACAGATTTCATTGATTTGTCATATATAATTATATATTACCTAGAAAATATCACCTTCTATCTAATTACAATGGTTTCCTGTCCATTATAGCGCTAATCAGTGTTTTGGATATCTTTCCATACTTGTATTAAATTGCAGCCAGTTAAAAGCACTCAATTTGACAGGAGTTCTACCTGAAGAATTTGCGGATCTCACTTTTCTACAAGAAATGTAAGGGGACCATCAAACTTTCATTATGTTGAAAGAAGCATACATTTTTATGCATATAGTCAAAAGTAGCTTCTTACTTTCAATTTTTATTACCACATTCAGTTTCTATGCTGCAATGTATTTACTTTAATGAAAAAGCATGTTGTGTTATATTCTACATCTTCATTTTTGTTGAATGGATGGTTATTGGAAAATGACACTAAGTAAGTTTTGTACTGTAACACAGAGATCTGTCCCAAAACTATGTCAATGGCACTATTCCTACACGTTTTGGTCAGCTTCCTCTTAGAATTTTGTAAGATTTACTCTGCATCAATTTTCTCAATCTTTCACCTTAGCTCTATGAATGTACTTCTTGACACTTTATTTTCCACAGAAGTCTTTTGGGGAACCGCATCAGTGGTCCCATACCCGAAGAAATAGGTGATATTTCTACCCTTGAGGAGCTGTAAGTAAAGATCCTTACCTGACAAGTCAGTCATCAATGGGACCAGTCATTGTTCTAACGATTTTGACCTGTACAACAGGATCTTGGAAGACAATTTGCTTCAAGGACCACTTCCTCCAAACCTTGGGCGTTTGACTCGATTGAGAAGATTGTAAGATTACTTGACCTTGCTCCGTTTACCCTTTAAAGTTCCACCTTCTAATCCGACAACACAAAGTTATATAACAAGAGATCAACCGTTAATAAAAATCAAAGACACTTGGCCTCTGTCAGAAAAAGTGATTGCCATTAATCCCAATTATTTGTGAACGGAAGCAGAAACACATGCATACATAATTCAAGTACATCATGTTTTATGGCAGTAATCTGCTGCTACAGCACCAATAGTTTGAACTTTAATATTCTCATGTATGGCCCTATATAGACTGCTTTGGCTGGTCAACGAAGTTATGTTTATTTGTTTACCCACTAATGGGTTAGAGATTGATGTTTCACTTTTGGTGCTTATCAATTAAATATGCATGATGGTCGGAACCATTACCAAATGCTTACATAGCCTTGTTGCTCCAGGTGTTGCTTATTTTATCCCAACATAAGGGATTTCATGTTCATCTTCACATACTTTTATGTTGATACTGCTTTTTAGTTGATCCCAGTATGTATTTAGGTTTTTAGAATCTGAGTTACTCGTATTAGTTTTAATTTTTGCGTTATGTATTTGGGTGTTCGACTTTTGTTAGTACTTTTATATTGTTGACATCTTTTTGTTTTCCACAATGAACGGTTTTTTCATGCAGCTTTCTTGATGGAAATAACCTTAATGGAACCATACCTGTCTCGTTTGGTAATCTGATCAATATAGAAGATTTGTAAGTCATAAAGATCTTTGCTTTATTTTTTTGACTTGGCAAGTAAAGTAGCAATCCATCCAATATTTTATCAAATTCTTGAATTTTCTGTACATTTCTTGCAGTAGGATGGATGGGAATAGATTATCTGGGAGAATACCTGATTTTATCGGAAACTGGACAAGAATCAAGGCACTGTGAGTATTCTTTTTACTTTCTTTATCGATGGTTTAACTTCTAAAATTTTGATCATATAATTTATTGTGTAGTTATTTGCAAGGAACATCAATGGAGGGACCGATTCCTTCTACAATATCTTTGTTGAAAAATTTGACCGAAATGTGCGCACATTACCAAGTCTCCATTCATTTTTTTTTAAGTTTTTGGTCAATAAAATGGGTGGTAATATTAGCTTTGATCCCTGAACTTATTTTATATACATGCATTATGGTTCTCAGGAGGATCTCTGATTTAGCTGGATCATCGAGCATGGGATTTCCTAATCTGCAAGATATGATAGGAATGCAGAGATTGTGAGTTGTTTACATAATTGCGTGATAAAAAGAATCAAAAGTAATGAGTTAATTTTGTACATAAAGTTGACCTTATAAGTTTGTTCTAAATAATTTTGTTGCAGGACCCTAAGAAATTGTTTGCTTACTGGCCAAATACCAAACTACATTGGACAGATGCGTAGTTTGAAGAACTTGTAAGTCAGTTGCTACTATTCTTATTAACTGTTAAGACAAAGATCATTGGTGTTTTGAGTTACGATGGAATAGGATATACATCACATATCCTAGAGGAAGTAAAGACTCTGGGTTTCCGAGAAGCCACAGCTGCATCCATTTCATTAGGAATTAAGGATCCGTGTTTCTTTCTGTAGTTTTATCTATACATATGGGATTTACATGAACAATTTTATAGTTATATCGAATTTACATTAATAACTTCTTAGTTTTATCTCTAAATATGGAGTTTACTTGAATAATTCCAGGCCCATGATGATGAAAAATTATGCAAGTTTTCTCAAAATCCTCCAACAAAAGAACCAACATATGCCCTTCTCCTTGTGAACTTCTTGTTGACATAAAACTTATTTAGTCTTTGCTTTCTTCAGTATCATGATCAAAGCATGTGCTTCCTCAATGGTTAACCACTTAATCCAGTGTGTAGTCAAATGAAATAATGAAGTACTAAGCATATACAAAACTCTCAACATTCTTTTTTTTTAATTTTTACATCATCTATGTGTGATGGAGTAGAGAAGTTAAGAGTTCATCGGTTGTATTTGTAAGCTGATCCAAAAAAGGAAACACTCTGTTGTCCATGCAGTATTAGTACTCTCCTGGTACGGTTTTCCCCCTTACACGAAATATTTTTTGAACTTTTGTTTCCATCCATTGCTTGTAAAGCATTCTTAACATGTCTCTTATAGCTTATATACCTTTGCACTTGGTTTCCAATGATACCTTCCATTTGGGTGGAGTTAACTTCATCTTCTGAGCATTTGGAGCTTTTCCCTATATTTGTTAACTTAAGTAGAACAACTTATAATTTTATATTTTATCAGTTTATTTTGACACGATATTATATATTCGTTGAGTTTGCATGATCCACACTATATATATATATATATATATATATATATATAAGCTCAAGGAAATATTCACTTGAGTTGTTTCTTTTGCAGGGATCTGAGCTTCAACAGGCTGAATGGTCCAATACCCAACGAAATAGAGACATTAGGCTTTCCCTCCGGCTCCATGTATGCAACTACTTATAAGATGCTAACATTTTCAAATTTTATCTTACATCCCTTGCCTATTTGGATTTTTTGGTAAAATTTGAAATAGTTAATACGTTGATGTAGGTTTCTAAATAACAACTTACTATCTGGAGAGATTCCTCAATGGATATTTCAGAAAGAAGATGTCAAGATGTAAGTGATTCCCCTTGATTATTAGTCTTCTACTACATGTTTACATGAATGGTGATCATATTATAGAGATGACTTATTACTATGATCTCTTACATTAGGCCATTATGATTGTTGTTTTTTAATTTTTTTTGCAGTGACTTGTCTTACAACAATTTTACTCGTATATCTTCATCTTCATCACAGCTCTGTCAGACATCTAACTTGTAAGTTTCTGTAATCCTACCCTCTACTATATTAGAACACTACTTTTTTTGTTCGCTTATCATTGGTACCTTTACCACAGGACTTTAGTTTCATCCCTTTCATCTTCAGCCTCAAACAACACGTATGTCTCCATTACCAACCTATACACACGCACACTTTTGTATGGTTTACAATGATGTGATTTGACATGAATTAATCTTGTAGAGATGCATGGTGTTTGAAAGACAAAATTACATGCAGTGGAAATCCCGATCGTAAGTGTACACAAATAAGCACTCCCTTTAGGTTAATTATTGTATCTTTTCACAAATGCATCTTACATTGCAGGTCATTCCTTATTTATTAATTGTGGTGGACCCACAATAAAATTCAAAGGAAACGAATATAAAGCAGATTCGAGTTATGAGGGATACTTTCATTCTTATGATGAGAGATGGGCTTATAGCACCAATGGTGTTTTCACGGGGGATGATGATGCTCCATTTATGACAAACACAATGAATGTTAGAGGTGGAGATATATATAAAACAGCTCGCCTTTCTCCCGCTTCACTCCGGTACTATGGACTGTGTTTGCGGAAGGGGAGTTATAAAGTGATCCTCCACTTTGCTGAAATAGGTTTTTCTGATAACATGACATTTGCTGGTGTAGGAAGACGCTTTTTTGATGTATCAGTTCAAGTAAGTGACATGCCAGTTTTTGTTTAGATTGTATATTTCAATTGGAAGATTAGTTACAAACTTAATTTGTTTTTCTTGTAGGGGGTTCTGAGAATCAAAGACTTCAACATCATGGAAAAAGCTACCAGTACTCACAATGGCACCTTCTTAGAGTTTGAGGTTTATGTTAATGGTAGCACCCTAGATATTCACTTATACTGGGCAGGTAAGGGGACTACTTTTGAGCCTGCTCGAGGTGTATATGGACCTCTTATATCTGCTATCGCAATAACACCAAGTTAGTAAAAAATTTCTACCACATGTTCCATTTTCAATGTTCTCTCACTATAAGAGCACGTATAAAATCTACTTATTCATCCTTCTTCCAGACTATGATGTTAGTACCGGACTCACTGCTGGAGCTATAGCTGGAATTGTGATTGGTTCATGCATAGTTATCATGCTAATTTTAGCTCTACTTTGGAAGAAAGGTTATCTAGGAGGAGATAAAGTAGATAAAGGTAAGAATATAAGAGATTGAATATTAGTTGCCTCTTGTCATGTTTTTCATTGTTGTTTTGAATCCTAGTTACTTTTAACGACCATCCTTGTCACAGAGCTCCGAGCACCTGAATTACAGACGGATTATTTTAGCATGCGACAAATCAAATCTGCTACTCATAACTTTGATTCTGCAAATAAGATTGGTGAAGGAGGCTTTGGACCTGTATATAAGGTAGTTTCTCGTAAACATTATCATTTTCAATGTGTTCTTTTAATTGTTTGCTTTTATTTTTGAAGTGATTATATAAAAGTTTTCCTATTTTGTTTCATTTGCAGGGTATACTTACGGATGGTTCTGAGATTGCTGTTAAGAAACTCTCCGCAAGATCAAAACAGGGAAACCGTGAATTTGTCACTGAGATAGGTATGATATCTGCTTTGCAGCATCCAAATCTTGTTAAGCTTTATGGCTGTTGCATTGAAGGAAAGGAGTTATTGCTGGTATATGAATACCTGGAAAATAACAGCCTCGCACGAGCCCTTTTTGGTAATTACTTCACCAACCCACTATTTAGCAGTTGTATATCTATTTAAGATAAAATTTACAACATGTCATTCTATATAGGTCATGAGGACCAGAAGCTTAATTTGGACTGGCCCACAAGAAAGAAGATATGTATGGGGATAGCACGGGGCTTAGCCTATCTCCATGAGGAATCAAGGTTGAAAATAGTTCATAGAGATATAAAGGCCACCAATGTGCTTCTTGACAGAGATTTTAACGCTAAGATATCGGACTTTGGTCTAGCAAAACTGGATGAAGAAGAGAATACTCATATCAGCACACGAATTGCTGGAACGATGTGGGCTTTCATCGTTTGAATCTTAGAGTCATCTCATATTTTCGATATTGTGTATGTATTCATTTGTCTGAGACGTTTATGTTGTGAAATTGTAGAGGGTACATGGCTCCAGAATATGCAATGAGAGGATACTTGACAGATAAAGCAGATGTTTACAGCTTCGGAGTTGTTGCATTAGAGATTGTCAGTGGGAAAAGTAACACAAACTACAGGCCAAAGGAGGGGTCTGTCTACCTTCTTGATTGGGTAAGTTCAATCTTTCAAACTATTTTATCATTTCTGAATATTTGAGAAACCTCACATGTATATGAGTTAACCAAGAGGATGAAAATCTCATCTGCAGCAATTTGACCAGCATTTTTGTGTAGTTGATTGCTTATAGGAATGTATATTGGGGGATGGGTTGGGGGATATGGTGGTTTGGTTGGAGGGTCGAGTGTCTTCACCTAAGTGTGGGGAATCTTTTAATAGAACTAAGGAGGTTCTTTGGTAGGGAAAGTGTTATATGTGCTTTTTTGCTAAGTAGGCTTCTTCAAAACCAAACCAAACAAGCCTTCTATATTCACTATAATATATCCCGAACAGAGGTAAGGTCAAGGGATGGTAGGATATGCAGACCTTAACTCAAGAGGCCGAGAGGTTGTTTCCATGAAAACCACCAACTAGCAAAGAAAAAACAAAAAAAAAAATAGGGAACAAGTGTACCAACTAGTGAAGTGTGTGTAAACAAGCAACATGTATGTTGTGTAAGAAACTTGATATTGTGGTTTCAATCACTTGGATAAATTCTTGGATCGTCTATCAACTGCACTTTACAAATACTAGATTTCAACCCTTTACAACCTTAGGCTACACGAAAAAAGTATTGGTATAATCCAAGAGTTCACTCTCGTTTCTAAGGCAGAAAAAACTTGAATATATCACCCCAGATTAAACGTTTTATGAGAGATCAATGGCTATAGGCTAGTTAGGCAGTTAGTAGATAATTGCACAACTTTATGTGGATAAGGTCGAAGCGAGTTAGAGGCAACTCGTAGGTTATGATTCAGAAGGCAACTCAGAGGCTCTAGTTAAAAGGCAACTCAGAGTCTCCGAGTCATAACTCTTCACAATCAGAATCTTCTAAAGCATACTTAGTGGCTTCTAATTCCATACATTATCTCCAATACCAAATTTCTAACTAAAGTTAAAAATAGTTCTAATCTTCCTTGGACCCCACATGGGTTGATGCCTGTAGGACCCTGCAAGGGGTCTTTTGACCCCACTTTCTAACAATATAAGGTGATAGGGGAAATATTTATAAGTGTGCACTTCACACTCCTAGGTAACGTTATGTATGTCACGTCACCTAGTCGATCCCTTGTAAATCACAGTTACACCAAAATTCTTGATGACACCAAAATCACCAACATGTTACAATGAAACAAACTTGTAAAGCAAGAGGAACGCTTCGTCTGGCAAAGAGTATAACAAATATTGGCATATTTACAAAAACATGGAATACTAAGGCCAAGGGAAAGTAAAGGGTCCCGTAAGTAAATGCATAAATAAAAATATAGAAGGTGGGAAAAACTAAAACTCTCCTCTTTCTAACATAGGACCACTGGCCACCTATATCATAACATACCCTGTTTTTTCTCCATACCCCTTCCAGCTTTCCATGTTAGTTATATATCCCCCTAGTGTTTGCTACCCTAGTTCTTGCGTCTCCCAGAGCTCATAAGGTTGTCATGTCCATCCTCACCTGATCCTCCTACATTTTCCTCGGTCTGCCCCTCTTCCTCACCCCCTTGACCATCATAATCTGTATCCTCCTAATATTGTCGTTATTGGTCTCGTGCAAGCATGTTCAAACCACCGGATCTTCCCTCTCTTAATTATCTGTGATTGGCACAACCCCCAACTTTCCCCTAAGACCTCATTTGGTCATGTCCAACCTGGTCTAACCCAAGGTTTTAAACTACGGAAACGCGAGGTGTATGCTTCAAGGCGACCCAAGGCGTAAGCCACAAGGTGGAAAACAAAATTAATTCAAAATATATGTATATACACTAATATACACTTATACATAGGATTGTATACTCAACTCACAAAATAATATATACATTTAAACGTGTTTCTTGTTTATTAACATATGTGTGTATATATCCAAGTGGAGGTTCAAACGAGAACACCTCCATTTTACTAAAACATGACAACACCCTTATTATATGTGATAATACACGTGAGGGGACTGGTCGAACATGTGCGGACAACTTGGCCCAAGATATAGGTCGTGCTAAAACTCATATCACATTAAGAACACCCTTATCCCATGGGGTAATACACGTGATGTGTCCTACTAGTGTGCGGGCAACTTGGCCCGCAACCTAGATTGTGGCAAAGGTTTCCCTCATCTCTGATTCAATATCACATGTGTATGATATATGATGGACTATAGTATCACATGTGATTGACTATATTAAAAGAGTGTTCTTGTATTTTCATAAAATGAATGTGTTCTCGTTTGAACTCTTCCCTATATATTTACATACTATTTTTATACAAATAAAATAGACTAACAAAAAATATATGTATTAGTATAAGTTACAAGTCCAAATGCATAAGTAAATTGATGTATTTCGGGAGAAGAAAAATATATATAGATAACTTTTGTTCCCGCAAGTGGGAGAAAAAAATTATATGCATACATACATATATACATATATATATATATATATATATGTGTGTGTGTGTGTGTGTGTTTATGATTGTGTGAGAGATGGAGAATAAAGCACATCGAAATAGTGTCGTTGATATTTGACTTTAGTGGATATCGCTATCTACTCTTTAGACATATTGGTTGTCCTAAGGATGACGCTGAAGAACTCCATCAACGACTGTACACCCACCTCCCTCAGACAAATCAACACCTCGATAAGGATCTTGTCCAAACTTATGACCTTACCCTTGCCCGTCTTCTTTAGATCCCCTTCTAATTCCCCTATATTGAGTCTTCTACAAAAACAATGATTTCTTGGTGATCGTCGTCCCTCTACTTCATCAACAGAACTCTCTCTTTCCCTTGCCTTGTTAAATAATTACAAAACTAATTACGCCAATCTCACCTTATTGTTGTGCTTTATATTTGTGAGATCTTAGAATAAGCAACCAAAAGATGACAAATCTAACATTAGTGTGTATATATGTAACTATAAGTCAAGAACTATAAATGATAACAAATATTTCAACCACCACTAAGCATATATATGATAAACAATAGGAACTAAAGGGTCATTTGGTTCATGGAATTCGAAGAGATTTGATAGAATTGGAATGGCAAATTTCTTTGACCAGATTTCAATTCCTTTGTTTGGTTCATTCTTGAAATGGAGGGAATCCTTCAAATTCCATTAGATTCCACAAATTAATGAATTCATCATTCCTTGGTATAATGGAAGGAATTGAATTTCATCACCACCCTCCACGACCATGATACTATTGTTCGTGATGCCCCACCCTTAGCCCCCCACCACCACCACACCACTACTGTCGTCGCCACCCACCCCCACTCACCCACCCGCCCGCCCTACCTCACCACTAACCACCATACCACTACTGTTGTCATCACATCCACCCACCCCCAGTCACTCACTGCACATCCCAACTACCACCATGTTACTACCGTTACTGTCACGCCCCTAACCTAACCCCTATGCCCCTAACCTAAGCCCCACCACCAAAGCATTATTGTCGTTGTTATAACTGCCACTGACCTCCAACCCACCACTAACCACCATGTCACTACTGTCACCGTCATACCCACCCATTCCTAACTACCCGACCACCATCCCACCACTATCGTCACAGCTACCACCCTACCCCGACCCCAGCCCTTACCTTACCCTACTCCAACCCAACACTAACCACCACTCTATAATTATGACGACGACAGTAGTGACATGGTGGTTGATAGGGTGTGAGTGGGGCGATGGGTGTGATAGTCCAAAGACGTTTGTTCCAATTCTTTTGAGAGATTTCATTCAAATTCCTACCAACCAAACGCGTGGTCAAATTCCATTTCAATTCCTTCAAAGTCAAATTTCTTTGATGCATTCCAATTCCATCAAATCTCATTATGTGAACCAAACACCCCCTAACTTACAATTTACAAGAACATAGGGTAGAGTCTGAATCAGATTGAGGACTTATGGACGTCCATCTAGAGGGCTCAACAATCCATTCAAGTAGGTGAACTTGAACCCGCCAAATCTAACCATGCTTCAATTATCAGATGATGATGAAGAAAATGAACCCAATAAATCTGTATCTTTTTATCTGCCAAAAATCTAGAAAAAGAACTTGATATTCTTACTTTTCTTCTTTCAACCAAAAGTATCCAAGGACATATGCGACTCCCTGAGGGAGTTCACTTGTCTCTCTATCCTCTTGAAACCTGCAAAAACTTCCCAATATGTTACATTTAATATGTATATGTAATGCCCAATCATGCCCAACACTTACACTGAGCCCATCCATGGGACTTGGCCCAATTTGTTAAGGATGGGAGAGAAAATATAAGGCAAACAAGTTTTTGTTATTTGGTCTATATGATCCAAACAAGTGCCAATAATATTTTTCTTAGTAAACCTTTTTTGCAAGCTTGAGGGGTCTTTCAGGGAATTGCCTATTTGTCTCTAGAGAAAGGATAAGGTCTCCTTACATTTTATCCCTCCTAGACCCCACCTCTGGGAGGGATATACTGAGTTTGGTTGGTTTGGGCTCCCTTCTCCTTTGAGCTAGCTTGTGGGAGTGAGTTCCACTTGAGCTTTTTTATCAAAACTGTCAATGCACCCTAAAAAGGGACATAATTGATAACTTTTATTTTGGTTTGTGAAGACATATGTCCTAGAAGAACAAGGGAGTCTTTTGGAACTAGTGGACCCTAGTCTTGGTTTGGAATACCCAAAAGAAGAGGCAATGATGATGTTGAGCTTGGCTCTACTATGCACCAATCCATCTCCCACCCTTAGGCCACTCATGTCATCCGTGGTCAAAATGCTCGAAGGTAAAATCCCTGTCCAGCCACTGGTCGTCAAAAGAGCTGCAAGGAACCCAGATATGAGGTTCAAAGACTTCGACTTGGTATCGCACGACAATCAGACACAAGTCTCCACCATCTCGACAGAAAGCCTAGGGCTGAGGAGCCTGTCGACGGATTCATCACTTTATAAGGATCACGAAAGTTCAGAAATGAAGCTTCTTACTGATCTTTATGGCATTAGTATTTAAGACAGTAAGGTAAAAGAAGGTGGTGACTCTTACCCTGCAAACCCATTAAGCCTTTGGTACATGGTCCCTTACTTTATTTCACCTTTTATATCTATGAATTATTGAAATCCTTGTGTTTAAGTTTTAATTAGGCGATGGGTTTTAGCAAAAGTTTGATCACTTTTTTTTTTGTATCCCTAAATATTGTAGTATTTCTGTAATGACTAGTTGCAATAAGAATTGCAAATATTAAATTGAGTATAGCATGTAAAACCAAGTAAATTATGGTGAATAAATTCATTTCATTGCATAATACAATGGTCAATGGCAATGTACTATTTTTATTTATTATTTTTGTACCATGCGATGCAACAAGATACAATATTTTATTAGAAATTGAGAATGAAAAATTAATAGTATAATTTTTCATTTCATTGCATTGCATGCATAATACAATGATAAATGGCAGTGTAAATTTACAAGTTTAATACGTCTTACTAATTTGAAGGCCCGGTACAAAAAAAAAAAAAAACTCTGAAAAAATGATATCGTTGTCAAATTAAAAATTAATTCTTTTTTTTTTATTACTTGTTAAATTCAAAAAATTTACGAATATTTATATATTTTAGATTTAAAGATAAATATGTAATTTATTTTAGTTCTAAATTTCTAATCGTAAGGTTTTTTTTATAAGTATAATGCCTTGTAGCTTAGGGCAACAATCTGATCCAATGACCTCTAAATCAACTTAAAACTACTGTGAAAGTGGTTAGTTTCCAACTTACGTTCTTGTAAGGTTCTACGATTAGCTCTAATACAATTTGTAACATCCTATAGCCCAAAGTAGGCCCACGAATCAACTTTAAAAATCACGTTGAAATTTATTGGCAACTTACAATTTTGAGTTCGTAAAAAGCTCAAAATGTAACTTTTATCTGTATGGGACGACATGTTATAAAATATTATTTAATAGTTTTTGTTTGCTTCTTTTGACGATTTGTCTTAGATTTGAATGTAAGCTCCTTTTCAAAGACGATAAATCATCAAAATGAAATCCATTGAGGATCCATAATACAAATTTCCCGAAGATCTCTACAAAATCCGCAACGGAAAGAAATAAATCTAGTCGAAACTAAGATTCTTATCATAGACTAAACAACCTGAACTTTTAATGCAAGCATAAATTATACCCACTACAAGAAGTCCAGTAATTAAAACCACTTTGATCTCAAAGTTTACAACTTGTCCTTTTTTCATGTTAGCATATTCTAACATGCTACACACCTTAACATATAATAGTCTTGAAAAGTGAGGGTTAGATCGAAAGGTCTACTGAATTTTTTGTAACCCACAATAATATTTGACAACATAAGTTTCAATATGATTTCTCATAGATATATATATATATAGAGAGAGAGAGAGAGAGAGAGAGAGGATCAAACGAGAACATTATCTAAATAAGAGAATACGAAAACAGTCAAATCACATGCGATTTTATATTAACACGCAAAAGGGTGTGCTGGCAAATTTGGCCGCGAATTTAGTTCGCGGGGCAAAGTCGCATGATTTTGTATATAATGTTAGTGTAAAATCAGATGTGATTCGACCGTTTTCAAACTAAATGACCAATTTACATATTAGGCCCTCCAAGAAACAAGCTTTCAAACTAAATGAATCCTGAAGTTCTAAAAATGGCTAAAATAAGAATTTGGGGTATTACAATTAGGTATATCTTAGGTAGTTAAACTACAAAGAAGATAACTAACATTTAGGCAACGAGACATCACATGTTTTATGATAAGTACCAATTTTATACATATTTTAATGTCAGATTTATCTTGCAGATAATGTTAACCGGTCGCTTAAAATACCCCTATTAGTTGAGGTTAACATTTAATTGTTGCTACCTTTCAAATTTTGAAAACAAGACAGTAATTTCATGCTTCTCGTTACCAAGAAACAGCAGTTGCAGCCTGAAGAAAAAGAGACAACAGCCCAACAGTTGCAAGGCCCAAAGCAAGCAACCCTAGCAAACAGCAAGCAACAGCCATCCAACAGCCCGAGAAATGTTCGGGTTTCCGTTCACTAGTTAGGATTGGTGCTTGTTTATTGCTTAAGGCAATTGATAGGTTGAATTTTACGTCCATGACTAGAATCAACTTAATCAATTAGGAACTAATCCATCGAGCTCCTCGTGCTAGTTTAATTATAAGGATAAGCGGAGTGTATGGCACGTGTCGACACCCATGAGCGGTCTAAAATCCATTGAGAAAATGTTTTTATACAAGTCAATGATACATGATTTGTTAAAAAAAAACTAGGTATACTCATCACTAGGATTTATTCACTATTGTTTAAAATCTTAATTTAGTCTTATGCGTCGATTATCAATCATCCAAACTCTCTTTTTTAAGAGTCTGTCACCCTTACTTACCGAATAAGACTTTTCATCCTTATCATCACTCTTACCGGGTAAGATTGGTGAGGAAAACTACCCTGTAAGGGGAAAGCGTTTAGTAAACAGACCTTAAGTATGTATATGACAAACAATAGAAACAAACTTACAATTTGCGGAAACTTGAGGTAGAATCCTGATCAGATTGAGGCCGCCTTCGCAGTGTCATTAGACAGAAATTTGTCCCATTATATATAGAATTTGTAGACGTCTATCTAAAGGATTTAACAATCCAATTTAACTATGTGAACTTGAACCCTGCAAATCAAAACATGCTTCACGATGATGAAGAACAATGAAGAACCCGATAAATCTATATTTATCTGTCTGCCAAAAATATGGAGAAAAAACATTTGGTATTTATACCTTTCTCGTTTCAACACAAAATATAGTTATCCGGGGACACGCACTACTCACCGAGCAAGTATCTCTCTATCATCTTGAAACCTGTAAAAACTATCCATCTTTTGAAATTTAGGCCTTGTTTATTTTTTGAAAAAAAAAATCTTATTAATCTCTTATATCTGATTTGCTTAGAGGTTGGGTCTGTTTGTTTTTTTCAATTTCTCAGAGGCATTTATATTTTATTGTTCCCTTATCTGATAAGAGGTAAACCAACATCTTATTTATCTCGTATTGTTCTCTAAACCTTTAACAACGACGTTTCTCAATCGGTAACCTTAATCGATCATTCATCTCAATTGATCATTACCAAATTGATCCTCACATCTCTCGTTTGGTGTATTTTAATAGGATTTAAATGTGTAAAAGTACCGTTATAATGGCATATTTTCGTTTAAATGAATGTTAATTATGTAATTAAAATGTAAATTTCATAATGATGACAAATAAATACGTGAAATTGTATAAGTTCATACATTATAATTTTCTAATCTGTAAAATAGATAATTTGAACAAATTCAGACAGTAATCAGTTTATAAAAGCAAACAGTCTTATTAATTCATACTTCAGTACAACATGTTATTAATCATAAGTCCAATTAAGACTTCAGAGATATTATCCTCGATAAGACTATCTTCCTCAACTGGTCGACGACATCAATATCCGTGACAAACGAATCATCGACAGTCAAGATCTTGGTTAATTATCCTCGACTAATACTAACGCATGCCTATCTTTGACGACTGTTATCTTTATCATTTATTGCATGTTTTGAAGATTTATGACCAAGAGTCTTCTTATTAATGCATATGTTGTAACCGACGATCAATATTCAGTTACTTCTTCAAGACATGACTCTCATCTCCGTAATGACAATCGAAGACAATCGTTACTTAAGCTAACTATAAATAGGCTCAAGAGCATTCGAAGAGACACGACTACAACGAGAATCACACTAAAAATAAAAAGAAAAAACTGAAATTCATCCGAAGAAATATTCATCGCCAAAGTCATTTCTTACGTTTATGCACGACACGTCGCATTTATCCACGATCTATAATCGTAATCGGTCTTATTAAGGACGACAGCTATGATTGACGTCTATAGTGCATCGACGATATCTACAATCATCCACAATTTTTACCCTCGACGGGGTTTTTCGCATCACCAAAATCTTGTCTTGTTTATTATTTTAGTTGTTTGTCTTCTTCATTATTAACGACTTTAGAATCAAGGACATAATCTGTAACAAACTACAGAGTTTTCGTAAATCTCGATACCAGTTTTTTAGACGTTGAAAAAAAGACATTTTTTTCTTTATTTAAAACTTATTCCAAGATACTTCGTTCAACAGAGCCGACAACTTTGGTCTATAACTTCGGTTTCAACCGTGTAATCCATAGGATGAGGAAACACGACCCATTGGATTACAAAGTCAAACTTGATAGGTAAGCCTCAAGAAGTCAAACTAAAAAAAGTCAACTAATTAAATATGTTTTAATTTATATTTTTTACCAAAGAAAAAGAGTTTTAATAATAAAAATTAAAGACCCAACAACCATACATGTTACCCTCCTTTTCCTCTTACACTTAGGGTTGTAAATGAACCGAACGTTCAACGAACTGTTCGTGAACCGTTCGATAGGAAGTTCGTTTATGTTCGTTTATTTAATAAATGGACGAACATAAACAATTTTTTTGTTCGTTTAGTTAAACGAACGATAATGAACAAAAGTCTCGTTCGTTCATTTATGTTCGTGAACGTTCGTTCATTTACCGTTCGTTTACGTTCATTTATATTCGTTCGTTTATATATTAAATTTAATACATAATCTTTTATCTATTTACTTTGAATTCAAATAATATTTATTTATGTTCGTTTATGTTCTTTTAGCCCGTTCGTTTATGTTCGTTCGTTTACGTTCATTTAGCATGTTAACGAACGAACATAAACGAACACGAACGAACATAAACGAACGAATACGAACACTAAGATTTTCGTTCGTTTACCGTTCGTGTTCGTTCGTTTGTTCGGTTAAGTTAAACAAACGAACATGAACAAGCCTCCATTCGTGTTCGTTCGGTTCGTTTACAGCCCTACTTACACTCATGATAGTTATGGTTGGGTAGTTATGGGTTTTTGGATCAACTTATATGTACCGATTAATCTCAGCTTATCTATCCACACGGCTTTTGTTAGCGTCTGAACTCGAACCCGAAGTAGATGAGCTTTTTCACTACATCTCCTGCCACAACCCAATTGGTTTAGTTATGGTTGTTAACGTCACTCATTTCAATCCTTGATCTTAATGTCGTTATTATTATCGTCTTAAAAATGTTACAGAATATTGTGATTAAAAAGCTCAGTTTGTTACATTATACGTTAATTATAAAATAAAATATAAAAATCTTATTAGTCATTTATTAATTTAACAAACA